GTGCAAATAAACTTCCACCATCTTCTTCATGAACCCGTGAAATACTTGCTTGTTCTTGCCTTGGACCTTCTTGTTCACCCTTATCCATGTGATCATCTTGCGCAAAGAAAGATCAACCATAATGATTGTTCCCATCTTCTTGGTTAGTGATATCCTTCATGTCTATGTACAAATCCACACTTCTCATTGGCTCGAGGTGGTAGATGATCCCAACATGTGAATTATTCTTTATCTTCACGGCGTGTCTTACATCGTGAGTCACAAAAATTAATGAAATGTGGAATTTCCTAGCTATTCCAAGATCCCAACCGAACGTCACACAAATCATACCAAGCAACTCATCATATGACAACCTACTATCAATAACAAAAGTGTAGTCCGACTTGTTCTCAAATGTGTTCACTACACCATTCTCTATCACATACTTGCTTCTATGAAACAAATTAAGCATGTATGGCCCGTGCATGCACATTTTAACTGTTTATTAAGGGACAAAAAAAATCGTTAACTATATTAATCGTAATCCCTAAACCATATCAATTTTTTCATCCAAACAAAATCACCAAAATTCATCATATTAATCTCAATCAAATGTGAAAATAACAACAATTCTCACCTAAAAAAATACAACAACAACAATTCTCACCTAAATACTCAACAACAATATCTACAATATACACATTACATTCATAATTCAACAAAATCAAAATCATAATCCATAAACCCTGTCAATTATCCATACAAACAAAATCCATCCAAATTCATTAAATTAACCTCAATCAATTCTTAAAATAACAACAATCGTAACCTATAAACTCAACAACATCTACATTCCCACATTACATTAATAACCATCATTCCTAAACCCTATCAATCTTCCATCTACAAAACAATATAACTACACAACAAAACAACTAAAAAAATGAAACTTAATGACTAATCTCGTTAGAATAACGATTCTTGTTGGATTTAGCGGTAATGTGCGTCCATAAGCTTGAAGAACTCTGGCCACAACCTTCCCTAACCTTCAAAATTTGAAAAATCAATATGAAGGGAGGCTACAACTTTTTCTTTTTATATCACGCTTGATTCGGATTTCGCAATTCCAAGAGCCACTATTCATGTGGAGCTCTCGGATTACTCAAATCCGAATGTACTTCACCTTATCCAATCCGATTTAAGACATCCAATAACCTTATCTACAAGGATGGATTACCCTTAACCCGAAAAAAAACCTCGGATTTGCCAAATCCGACCCCTAACTCTAAACCCTAAACCCTTGCACTCGAATTTGGCAAATCCGAAGTCACTGTTACAAAATTTGAATTTGGGCGCCATTTTAGATGCATTTTAAGGAATATTATATTTCGAAACTTTCGGATTTCGCAAATCCAAAGTCACTATTCACCTTTTGACCCCATTTTCCAGAATTTACAAAATAACAAAAATATATAATATTTTATTATCTCGGATTTGGGAAATCCGAAAGCCTGATTAATTAGACTCTTGAATTTGCCAAATCCAGGACAACTACTTATGCCCACCAATATTAGTGTAAATTTTTTTTGTCCACATCAATTCTTTTAAATTTTTTTGGCCGAATGACCCCCAAAACCATTTCAATGGAGGTTGTTTTTAGGAGGATTGAACTTATTAGATGGTTTCTAAACTCTCATAACATGTACAAGCAAAGCTCCATTGTTTTTTGTTGTGATATCATCAATGAAAAATTTGTCACACGTCATAGCTCTTACTGGATTCATGTTTTTTTTCTGAGTTTGATTTTTCTCTGATGTAGATAAACTTTTTGATAAAAAGACCAAAGAAAGTATTTATAAAGAAGTCTCCACTTTCTGTATCATAGACCACGATCCAGAAACTCACCATTATTAGGCGTGTTTCAATTCTACAAATCAGATAATCGATTGTGTTGGAAGATCATGAGTGATTGGGGCTACAATATGGAGACCGAATATCTTATAAGATAAAGAATTGTGGGAGGCCGTTTTGTGGTGAAGAAAATGATCGACTGAGGAAGTTTTTTTTATTATAAATTGTGGTAAGTACAAAATTATTAGTTTTACTATTAACCTAAGGAATAAGTAAAAAGTTTGGACGTTTTACTGTATTACTTACAATTGAGCGGGAATTTAATGAAGGAAAACTTGACACATTAGCTTTTGTTATTGATGTGGTTTTTCCCATAATGGGATATATAGATAATTAAAAATATAAAAATTTAAAAAAATAGAAAAACTAGATGATTTCCTTTTTTCCCTTAATATAAACCACAATTTTTCCCCCAAAAGTAAAAGTCCAATAAAATAAATCCACTCCTTCTCTTTTCTTCCCTTCATTTCTTCATCCAGTCGCCCCCCTTCATCACTCCCTTCTTCATCCCCAATCCAAAATTTCTCTTCTCCATCAACCAACATCTACTATCCGTATCGTAAGCCATTTTCTCCCCTGAAGTCAAGCTCTGTAAATAACATTGAAGATGGTAAAGTTTTGCACTGGGTAAGAAAATAACTTTCAGATCTAGCACCAATCAATTGTGTCACAAGAATAGAATTTTTAGAGGCATTTTGTGATGATTGGATTCTATTCTGATGTCCGCAACGAGACTTTGCTGGATTTAGGATATATATATATATATATATATATTTTTTTTGAGCTTTTGTTGGCAGCAGGATTTTGGGGGTGGCGGCAATAGTTTGCTGAAAGTTAGAATTTTGTGTCTTTTGTCTTCTTCAGATTTATAACAATTGTTGAAAAACTTGATGGAAATGAGGCATGATGGAGTTAATTTTTCCTAATTTTTTTTTCATTCGATTTTGGGTTGATTTTAGGGGAGGATAAGGAAGAAGTGGCTTGCGACTGTCATATCGGTCGAAAGAACAACCACTTTAAAACTAGTAGATAGTTAGTAAGTCAGGTCGAATCCATGGAGATGGATGTGACTGTCTAAGAACCGCTTGGAACACGGATAAACCAAACCAAAATCAAACAGGGAGATGGGCTGGGATGGGTACTCACACGAGTGTTGTCGGCACTACATGTGAGTGATGGTCTTACTACATCACAAAACAAGTAAATAACGAGTAAAAAAGTACACGAGAGTAGACAGAGCATGAAAGGCAGTAGTTTAGGCAAGAAAATAGGGAAATAAACAGAGTAAAAGAGCGTTGGGATCTTCCTATGTTCCTATGTTACTTCTACAGTGATTATGCATCTACTTGATATGAAGGGTGTTTTAGCAGACGCTAATATACCCCTAAGCCTCTGTCGATGTTCTTAAGAGAGTCGCTCCAGTGACTAACAAGCTCTTTTTTGAGTAAAATGTTTATGTCCTATCAAGCCAGTAAAAGCTAGAGTCATATTGATAACCTCGTACCAAGTCTTTTCGATCTTAGTTGAAATTTTAGACTGTTACCTCTAAGTCACCGGCTAATTTTAGTCATTCTAAACTGAGTTTACCCTTTCGGGATTCTCCTAGTATGCATGAATAAGTGCCTAGTTGATCAGACTATACACAAGTTTAATTCAAACACTAAAACTGGGGACACTTATATCGTTCGAATGCAAATCTAACGTGTTTTTTAAATAGAAAGAGGGATTCAACCCCAACAAAAGAATTAGCTACTCATAATCAATATTTTAAATACAATATCCATGTAGAACTGAGAATAACAAATGATTACAAGGCAAGAGAAAGCATACAGAGAGCTAATGATACAAGTTTCTACAGAATTGCAGACGACTCAGGCGAGTTGAGATACCACCCATCTGAGCGCCTGTCTCTGATATACTCCTTAACTCTCTACTCAACTAAACCTAAATTCTATATGCTATACTATGCTTTCTACTGTGCTCTCCCAAAATGTGCATTGTTTCCTCCTTTATTTAGAGCGGCAACGGCTTGATTCTTCGTTAAGATTCATCCACGTATGCCAGCTATCGTGTTCATCAGGAGCACCCATTTCTTGCCTGACTTTTCAGGCATGATTCCAGCTGCATTTTCTTGGCATTTTGCTGAATATTCAGGATCACATCAACCACCTATGATAGCTCTTCCTTGGCCTACAAGAATTTTCTCGTTTCGGTGAAGTATCATGCCTTGGAAGCGATCCTAAAGTTGTCTCCTAGAATCTAACATTCATTTTAGTTGTCACATGGGTGTAGTTTGTGTTCAACTTCTTGGTGTTTCACAAAGATTTGGAACCAATATAAGATTCTATTAATGGGCTAGAAAATTCATTTTGCAAATAGAAAATTAAGCATATAAAATGAGTAAATATGTAAATATTATGTAAAAGAGTAACATTAGTGTTTGGAAAAGATTTACTCTCGATTTAAAGAAACTGCTCTCAACTATATTTCTTTAGAGATAATAATTTTAGTAATTTAAATTATAACTATATGAATTGCAATCTAATTTATGCTAACTTCTACCTAGATGTGTGATCTTTAGTAAATTTTTAGAAGAGTATTTAATTGCAACGGAATAGGACTTTTATGTGTTGGTTTATATTTACTTTAGCACAATCTTTTATGCATCATTTCTTTGCGAGTAATGGACTAGAAACCCATGTCACTCCGATATAGAGAGTTGGGGTCCAAGATTAGCCATAGCCTAATTTTCAACTTCTTCTCTTTTTCCAAACCTTTTTTTTTACCGTGTTTTTTTACTTGATAGGAAATTATGAAAGAAATGCTTTTAGAATGATTTATTTATTATTTATTATTTTTTTTTGGTGTTGGAAAAAAAAGAATTGAGGAAAAAACCACTTATAGAAAAGGTGTATTTTCTACTCGAGTCATCTTTGGGGACTATTTAGGGTTTAGTACTCTTTTCCTTTGGAACCACTTTTGCTCTCTCTGTCTTTCTCTCGCCCTCTCAATACTCTCTCTAGCTGAAAGCTCTTCCTCCTCCTTACATCATGACTGCTCAATCCCAGGAAGAACTCCTTGCTGCCCATCTCGAGCAGCAAAAACTCGATGTAATCCCAAATCCCTCCTTTTTACACTCTCACGCGAAAGCCCGTTTTATTTGTAGGAATTTTAATTGATTGTTTTTGTGGGGTTTCAAGCTATTCTTGTGGCGGGTTTGGTTTTTTGATTTTCGGAAAGCATTATTTGAAGTTCACTCATCTTTTTGTTAGATCTATTAGGTTTCGATTCCATCCTCTTTATTTTTTGTTTTTGTTCATTTATGAATTGGAATGGGGACGGAGATATTTGATATAGGGTTTTTGTTGGGAGAATTGATTGCTGTTTTTCCTTCTTTTTCTTGTAAGGATGGGTGATAGTTGGGAACTGAAAAATATTTATTTTGCGATTCAATTACTAGAGTCAGTGAGGCCATTGTAAATGAACTGCAATGAAGTTAACAAGTTAGATTTTACTGCTTTTCTTTATAATGGAGATTAGTGTATAAGTTTTTTGAACTTTTTTTTAATGCCAACGCTGGCGAAAAGGATATCTGGAGTGCAACTTTGCTAGTCTTTGTTTACTAAGATCAAATAAGTTTGAAAAGGGCTTTCCTGGGTCAGTGTAACGAGCTGGATAGTTTCCTCAATGCGTTTTGCTTCTATTTTATTGAGAGAGATTAGTTTCATGGGGTGACAGTTCCGTGGAAAATCGAGTTCTTTCGGAGCACTTTTAAGCTAATCTCGTGTTCTCTGTCTATACTAAGCTGCTTTTGTTGTCAATGTCATCTTGTTGTCTGCTCCCGGTCTGATGAATTTACTATGTTTTTAGAGCTATAGTTCTTTAAATGCATGACTTTGCTCAAAGTTGACTTTCAATTAAACCTGATTTTTCTGAAGTTTTAAGTTTTGTTATGTGATTTTGTCCTTTCTTTTGTTCATAGTTATGAATTTGTCTAGAGAACATCTGCCGTCAATGAATGTTGCTGGGGGTAATTTGTAGATAGGTAGCTAATATTTGCTATGATGCAGTTCTTGAGTTATGTTTGGTGGGATAAGCTTGTTATTTCGTTATACATTTGTAGTTGAAGCACAAAAGGACTGGTACCTTCAGTTTATGGCTTCTCCAGGGTGGTTCATACTCTACAAATTTGGAGGCTGGTATTAGTTTCTAGAGCACAAACTTCTGCTTACCATTTTCGGGTTCTGTACTTATGTTTCTGTGAGCTTGAAAGAGGGGAAGTGATGCTAGCTTTAGAATATACTCTGAATTGGTGATACCTGAGTTCTGAGCTTTCATGGAATTCCTAGTGCCACAGGGTTGCCTTGATAGACTGGTCTAAAAGTGTTTAATGCAGTCAAATCTTTTAGTGTCTGATGGAAAACCTAATAAGTAACATCAACTGCATACTTGGTGCTAATATAATGTAGTTTATTGAACTGATAGCATCATCTAATTGACTGTCTCATTTGTAATCTCAGTATAAGCTATTATTACTTGTCTATTCTAGCCAGAGGAGCCCGTTGTAATTACTTTTGTCCATTGTAGCCAGAGGAACCCGTGGTTGAGGACGATGATGATGAGGACGACGATGACGACGATGATGATGACAAGGATGATGATGATCTTGAAGGTAAGCGTACATATGAAGACATCCTTTGCCTGGCTTTCTCTATTATGAAGACAGATCTTTTTATGCAATTAGTTTGTTTTTTTATTCCCGGCTGGATTATGCAGTTGAATGTATTTATTTATACTTGCACAAATGGATGGTGAATTTGCCTCGCTATGTACTTGACTTGATATTTTGGTGGTTTGGTTCTTTGCGTAGCTGAAATTTCCGTTTCATGGTTAAGAAGAGGTTGACAAGTCATGATCTTATTCTTGTGCAAGCTTGATGTTCTGTATCAAGATATTTTAGAAAGAGAAAGCATCTCAAAATATCCGGTGCAAAAATTAGAGAACAGTGTAGCTAAAATTTTGTTGACAGCTCTGCTCCTTTTGAGTTGTAAAGTTACTTGATTCTTGTTGCTTCTCACTACTAAGTCATATAAACAATTCTGATGATTGCATGCTGTAAGATTCTTTTTTTTTTTTCTCTCCTGACTTAAGTGTGGTGCTATTGAATGATGTGAAAGGACATTATATTAGATCAAGGAATGTGTGGTATTTATTAGGTTAGATGTTATACTGTTTTTGCATCCATCTTCAGGATTGTGGTAGTTATTAGGTTATAGATGGTATACAGTTTTGGCATCCACTTTCAGGGTATTTTACACTGCTTGTTGTTGACAGGACAAGCTGATGGCAGCGGAAGGTCAAAACAGAGTAGAAGTGAAAAAAAGAGTCGGAAGGCTATGCTTAAGCTGGGAATGAAACCCATTCCTGGAGTCAGCCGGGTTACCGTGAAGAAGAGCAAGAATGTAAGACTATTAGACGACTTCTGATGTTCTAGTGTATGTTTTGCCTGCTGTCTCACATTTTAACATGTACTATTTTGCTGATGTATGTAACTTATTATTTCCCAGATTCTATTTGTCATTTCAAAGCCGGATGTTTTCAAGAGTCCAACTTCAGACACGTATGTTATATTTGGTGAAGCGAAGATCGAGGATTTGAGCTCACAATTGCAGACTCAAGCTGCAGAGCAGTTCAAAGCACCTAATCTCAGCAATGTGATGTCAAAGCCTGAACCATCGACTGTGCCTCAGGATGATGAAGATGTAGATGAGACTGGTGTAGAACCCAAAGACATAGAATTGGTGATGACACAAGCTGGGGTTTCCAGGGCAAAGGCGGTCAAAGCTTTAAAGGCAGCGGACGGAGATATTGTGTCCGCCATTATGGAACTTACAAACTAGGAGTCTTTCTGGCTCTATATGTAGTCTTTCAAGACATGAGCTGAGAATCGTTCTTTTCCATGGTAGATTGTTGTTGCTTTCTGGACATCCTTTTTCTAGTTACGCCTTGTTTTCTTCTTCATGCTGTTATGCTATAGGTACACCATAAACTGTCTGAGTTTCGAGTTGGTAGTATACAATCTCTACCTGGAATGAATGGTGCATTAAGATTTTCATATTCCCTGTGTGATCTGGTTTTGTATTCTTTTTGAGCCATGTCTGTATGATTGCATTCACTCTCTGTAACTTGCTATTTTTGGAAGAGTAATTTCTTTGTATTGTTAGAAGGACCATGATTGTTGGTTTATCATGCCTAAGAAAAGCCGGATCTTTTTATTTCTTTGTTAGAGGTCTAGCAGTCTAGCTGAAGTTGTTTTATAAGACACATTAGTTCTTTCCAAAAAAAATACTGGTTATCATACCTTTGATTCCAGTTTGGAGTAAATAGATCGTATTCATTCGGTTACCGGTTACTACTTTCGCTATTTGTAAGTGCTGGCGCATGTTTCATTTGTGCAAGACAAGCAACATTCATCTCATTATGACACTTCAATTATCCTTCATTCACATCTTTTTACAAAGCTTGCACCACCTTTACCAGTTTTGGCTTTTGACCTTGTACGTGGGTTTCGGTCATTCTGGTCATAAGGGGAGTGGTGTTGTGAGGGTATACTCTTAGGTTTGAGATCATGCTATACTGGCAATTTCATTATTGATTAAGTGATTGCCCATGCTCATGATCAAAGAAGTTTCCCTGCAATAAAATTGTTTTTCTCACGAGGCGAAAAGAATCAGTATTTTCAATTTGATAATGTTACACTCAGGACATGAAGAGAAAATTCAACGGCTAGTCTCTTACTTTTAACTTTCAGACTGGTTTACTCTCCCCGTTTTTTTCCCTTCTTTCCTCAAGCCTTCTATGGTCATGTGTCATATACTTTGGCCATATTTACTGCAAAAACAAAGTTAAGAAGGCTAAAACCCCAAAACTGGTGCAGAAGATAATTGAATTAAGTTTAACTTGGAACGAACCGTTGAGAAAAGGAGAACGATAATTGAATTAAGTTTAACTTGGAACGAACCGTTGAGAAAAGGAGAAGGCTGAGACAAAAGGGGCACCTCATCCTCAAACAATCCGATCAGTTGAATGCACTCAGATGGAAATGGGGGAAAGTACCGAATCTAGGAGAAATCCAACAGAACAAGCATTCTAGATATTATTAGCACAATCTTTGCAGTATAGTTTCATTGAATAAACAATTTTTCCAATTCAAGGAAATCAACTTTGTTCAACAAGTGATGGAACATTATTGTCACAAAGAATTACTAAAGGAAGAAATCAATGGAAAGGGAGCGATCCACGGAGCTTTATTATTCAAAAGGCCAATTGGAATACTCGGAGTAAGTAGTATCTTGATGATAACTGGTCACGGAGCTGGTTTCAGCTGCTCCATGATCTCGACGCCGTGAGCGAGATGAGCTAAAAGGCCACAGGAAGGATGTCCATGGCCTATGCTGCCTTTCAGAATTCTCGCTGCTGCTTTCCCTTCTGGTAAACCTCCTACTGCTGCTTCGACTTCGACTCTGTTCCCTAGAGCTATGACTTCTTGCCTCCGATGCCAGTTCGTACCGACAAACAGGGCAAGAACTTCGTTGTTCTAGCCACGGAACTATACAATCTGAGTGATACAAATGTTTACATGGTAACTTCCTGGCTTGAGAACCTAGCTCAAATTTCTCTTTGCAAACAGGGCAATGTGCATCCGATCGAATATCTTTCTTAGAGATCTTGACAGTAGGAAGTGCATCTATGGAGGATCGTGAAGCTGGAGGCGGCGCAGGTTGATCACTCCGGGTAATATGTTCGAAGAACTCCTCTACACCCGGACCAACAAAATAATCACCACCATTTTCTCGTCTGAACCCTAAAGCATCATTTAGGAACTCTACAAGCCCGCCATTGCCAGGCATCCTAACAGGCATATCACCACTAAAAATCAGTAATGGATTCCATATACTACCTTGCTGATCAGTTCCCAAATCTGATCGCCCTCTAGTATTACTTCTCACAGAAGTTTGTTGCCTTAAAAAGTTCGTAACAGCTTCTATAAATCTTGGCCTTTGATTTTCCCCTTCCAAATTCACGGTCAATATCTCATCAAGCTCTTGTACAAAGCCTCCAAAACAATGAGAGCAAACTGCATTTTGGCGTCGAATTTCAACTGGCTGCCTACAAGTATAACACCAGTGAGTATTTGTGTCGCTCATCCTCCCTCTCCCAAATTCTTCCCTCAATTGAGTCAATCACCAAATGCCACTCGAGTCTCCCACTCTGACTAATTTATTCAGCCAACATTATACCTGTAAAATTCAGTAGGATGTGATAAACAAATCATTATCGTCTAGAAGACATAAAAAGATGGTCACACTAATCAAAGCTATAATAAAGCATCATTCCTCACGTTTCTAAAGCAACTTAAGAGTGTTTAAAGAACATACATAAAGGGAAAAAATGGATTATGTTGCCTATAACGTTTCTTCTTTTATCTTTCTATGCAGTCACCTCTTCAAACAAGACCAAATTGCATCAAAAGGAAGGGGAAAATACAATCATCCTCAAAAAAGGAGTGGTATGAAGGTACACTTAATTCCACAATCCGTAGGAAACTAATTAATTGTAAACAGGAAATGGATTGTTCAACTCCAGTAATCACAGTAACATTTCAGATTAGAAAAGGGATCACTTCAATGCATCCTTTTGGCTTCATACTTGCAGATCTTACTTGACAAATATGAAAACGAAGCCAACAAGCAAATCCAAGCATATTGGTAGACTAAAGAAATAAATCATCGGTAACAGTAACATTAAAAAACAGATTATAATTTTTCTCTTTTAAAAAAAAAGTATCTGAAATAACATGAAAAAGCTGGCAATGATGAGATGATAAAACACGGGGAAAAAGCTAATATATCCCATTTCAGCAATTTCATGAAGGGGAGGCTTAGGAAAAACAAATCGAAGGAAGCAATCAACCAAGCCCATTTCAGCAATTTAGCCAAATGTACAGAGTTAGAAGTCAAGTGATAGCAACATTACTTCCACCAACCGAAAGGAAAAAGGAGGAAGATGATAGCATTGACAGGGAAAGCTAAAGGAAACAAGAAGAAAATAAAGGAAAAAAAAGAAAAAAATAGAAGAAGAAGTGTTCATTTGTTCATACCGTGAAAATCGATCCAATGCCAACCAAATGAGAGCAAAAAAAAAAAAAGGAAACCCAAGTAAGAGAAGTAATTAGCTCTACTCGTACTAAGTACATAGGGTACTCTGGAAGCTAGTAGCTCTGGAAGGAACAGTGGGAAGATGGTGTGTAGTGTGTGTGAGAGAAAGTGAGTAGTGAGCTGAGGAGTGAAGGAGAGAGAGTGGAAAGTTTTGATACAGTAAGAGTATCCACTATGGTGATAAATAATCAGTAAATAATTACTTTATTATCCCTTTTACCCTATTAAAGCAGAAGATATGAAGCTTATGTGGCAACTAAGTATGCATCTGTTTTGGCTCCAATGCACCATATTTCAGATTTCAGGAGTCTTTTTGCCACGTGTAAGTCTCTTTTAATTAGAAGTTATATAATTTTTTTTTTTAAAAAAAAAACACATGTTTTACTACAAATAAGGATCGGTTACATTTCAAACGAATGGATATATTAATTCAAATTCAAATGTCCAATCGTATAGTTTTGCAGGCTTAATATAAACAAAAATAAAAATACCTAAATCCAGCAATTAAGAATAATGCCTTATAAACTAATTATTTATTATTTCCTTATAACCTCAGATTTATAGGTATACTTTTTTAAGCCCCAAATCATAGCATAAATGATATATACACCAAATTAATTCCTCAAAAAATAGTAATTCAATTAGATTTTAATAAAATAGTAATTTAGAAGGGGCGCTCGGGCATCTGCGTGGGCCAAACATCTAGTACTATTTATTATTGTATTGAGTATGATAATATTATACGGTGTAAAAATTTCTACACTATATAATATATTTTTGGGGGGTTAAAATATGCTCTAATTAATATGAATTTATGATAAGACTAAAATATAAACTTTTACAGTGTAAACAAATGTAATGAAAAATTGAATAAAAGTATAATATTAAAATTTATGACATTATACTCGCGATAATGTAAATCATTGTGGATGCTCTAATAATAGTATATCACTGTATTAATTATATGTGTAAAAAACTCACATTGAACCTTAAAATTTTGGATTTTTGAACTCAAAATTGAATGTGAATTATTTTCATGATACGGAAAGATTGAAAGATACACTATTCTTTCTTTTCCAGATAAAAAAAATCTACTTATTGAACAGAATTATATAAAAAGATATTTCTCTCGGGCCGGAAATTATAACTAAAAAAGAGCATTAGTTCGTTTGCTAAATTTTAGTTTATCAATAAGTGTTATTAACATAAAATTTTTATTGTCTTTTGGGACCAGAAATAAGGAGTACCAATTTGTATATGTTAAATTAAGGAGAGGGTGCAGTTGCATGCCTGTCTTTTGACTGTCACACCTTGTTTTTTTTTTTTTTTTTGTAAGATCTGTCACACCTTGTAACTGTAAGGAAAGGATGGGAATCATGGGAGGAGAGGGGAATGGACAATTGGGCTGCACGTGGCTCATGTGAATGATGGGCTCCTTTTATTTTATTTTATTTTTATTTTTTGTTTTGTAATCCTTATCGAATTCACCTAACTCTATATTTCTCAGGACTTCATTTCATCATCCAGCCCACTATGGCCGAGACAAGAAAGAGTACCTACACATTAATTAATATTACCCAAAAAACGGTGTAATCTACAAAAGAATGGCACTCTGTTCTTACAATTTATGTCGTACAGAGTGAAAGATTTAGAAGGAGAGGCAGGTCTCTCCATTGTTCCTATTTGCCAGAGGCGTACTAAATAATAATGGAAAGTTAAATGATAGTATGATAATGTTAATTGTATAGTAGATGCTTTTGAGGAATTGTAGAAAAAGTTCAATGATACTCTCTCCGTTTCAGAAAAATAGTTCAGTTTGAAAATGTATAACTTTTTTAATTTGGCCAACATACCAAATGTTATGCCCGTAACTTTCACTAATGCCCCTTCTAGTTATTTTTATAAAAATTAACTATATATGTTTTTATTTTACAACTTAAATTTGATCAAAATTTTTATTCCAAAAAATATTGACAATGGATCTTGATGGAAAGATCTCGTTACATAGTTCAGACTGAATCATAAGTACTGAACTGATTAAGTTTGTCTTGTTTGATGAAAATAAAAAATCTGAACACTGAATAAAATGTCTGAAATATGAAGTCTGAACATTGAAATTTAAAGTATCTCAACTTATAATTTTATCTAAAAAATAATTAATTTATTTGAAACTATAACAATAAAAATAATAGTATTATTATATATTATGTAATAAAAATATTTTAATTTTTTTATGTAATTATTTTTCCAGTTAATAATAATGTCATATCTTTATCATTATAAAAAAATATGATATTTTATGGTAAATATATATTGATCATGGAATTTATTCGAATTTAATTTTTATATTAAATAAATATTTATTAAATAAAAAAAATTAATATGAATTTTTAATTTATAACTATACATCAAGATTAATAAAAATGTTTCAAGATAAAGCATAAAAAGTATAAACATAAAGGTAAATAAATAGGAAAAAAATCCTCTCAAGAATTCAGTTCAGACATAAGTGATAGGCCTATCACTTATTTTTAAACTCACATTTGTACTAGCATTTCAGACTCACTTAATTCATTAACACATCCTATTTTAATTTATCAAATAAATTTAAAATTTGAGTCCTTAATGAGTTAAGTTCTTAATTAATTACGTTGTTATGATATCGTGTTATCAAACAGTGCTAATCAACTAAGCACTTAATCAATAAGTTTAAGTGCTAGATTGGTTTATCAAACAGGGCCTAATTTGATATATACCATATTTTTTAATTATTCATGTATTAAAAGATATAATCATTTGAAAAAATAGAAGAAAACTAAAAAAAATGAAAATCGAAGGAAATAGACCTCAATTTCCTTATCACTACTCTTTTGGATATTTAAGTCATTTCAATTCAACTAATTTTGACTTTTGTGAAACTGAACTATTTTTGTGAGACAAACTTTTCTTTTATTAAACTCGACTATTTTTGTGGGACGGATAGAGTAGTATGTTATGTCGTCTTTCTAAATTCCGTGTTTCCTCAATCCAATTTATCATTGTTCCTCCGTTGATTGTACTCCCGTCATAACATTATATGTATCAATTTATAAGAATAACACAGGGTAGCAATCTATGAAGATCCAGTGAAATCTTGTAAACTATATTTAATGGTTAATCAAGAATTGGAGTGTTTCTTCTCTTTCTCCATTCCATAAGCAGGCAAAAGCTACTGTATCTGTCATAAATTAATAATTTGCGAGTTCCGTCGATCGATATTCTAGTATCCTAGGGGAGTAGGCGTAGAGGAGCCACACAGAACCACACCAACCCATCCTCCACTTGGTGGTTTAAACTCTTCTGCTGTGATGTTGTGCAAGAGAAAAAGAAAAGGTTGAGTAATGAGAAATAGCCCTTTTCTAAATATCATTATTTATAACCACTATTCCAAAAAGCAGCTGGTTTGTAGTTGATTAATTACTATAATCAGTGAGGATTAAGAAGTGAAGTGACAGTACACCATCAGCTGCCAAAATGAAGCATGCCTTCTCGCTTTACTCCAACGCATGATGATTCTAGTTTACGGTATACATCTTATTACGCCCAGTGCTCAACAACAGCTTGAAGGGAAAAATCAACAACAAACAGATGTAATCATGTTCCACAAGGGATCGAACCCCTAAAACGGTGATCGCCTTCCTTTAAAAGCATAGCAAAATTACCCTAATTGTTACCAAACTGATTCTGAATATCTTTAAACGATATCGTAGCAGAACCCCTCCTTTTAGCCTTCTGCTGAGAATGGTGCTCCCTCCAGCCAGTCATGAAAATAACCTAAGAATTTCAACAGAGAAATCATCAAGACAAATAACCAAATCAAGAAACCGTAGAATAGCTTTTACAAGGGTATCTTATGTTGTTCCAGTGTAACAAAAGCAGAAAACTTGTGGTTGCTAAAGGCTCTGTTGGTAGAAAAATTGAATTTGGGGCAGTTGATGATGCTCTCATTTCTGTATACTTGTGACGAATAAGACCTCATACAGTTTCCAAAGGAATTGCACGCCGTGTTTTATAGTCGAGGAAAAAAGAAAAACAATAAACCGAACTTTTATAGTAAAGCTGCTCAGCACAAGTTTATGCAAGTTTATAATTATTTGCCTAGTAAACCGGTACAAGTAAAAGTTAATTGGGAAACAACATTGGTAACAGAAAAGAGTAATAGAGAATCTTCGAAGTTTTGGAATCCTATACAAGAACATTGGCCTTTGAACAATTGCGTTACAAGAGGGAAGATGTGAACATAGAGAAGAAAAGGAAAAAAAACATAACCAAGAAAACGACGACTAAAAATCAATATAAAGTGAATGATGTTAAATCATTCAAACATGCTGTGGGAGCTTAGCAAAAGATTGTATGAGCCCAATCCTAATCGATGCTTTTCCCAATGCAATAGAAACTTAGAAAAACAGGTCCATCATGTTTTTGGTTCTCAGAAATGAAAAATAAGTCAACTAGAGAGCTGCGCCTCCCGCTATCATGTAGCCATCCAAAATAACGAACACAAGCATTACCTTCTTTACAAATGATTTTATCACTCCATACAGTCCAAACAAAAAAGACCAGGAGCAATATCTCACAAACATTTTTTATTTCCAACTTTGACAAACAAAAGCTTTTGAGCACATAGGACTTCCACATAGATTAAGGAACAAGCACTAATCGATCATATGATAATTTTCTTAGCTTGCGAAGAATTACATGTTCAATCCTGCCTGTGATATCTACAAGACCTTTCCACACACCCCATTCTAACTACTGCTTTAGCCCAAGTACAGCTGAAAGAGCTTAATGCTATCAAATTCTAAAATCTTTAAATAAATCACAAGTAAGAATTGAATGCACAACAGCTCTTGCTTCACTGTCCATGGGGAATGACTATTAAGTCCCCGACATTCAAAATATCCAGGAAACAAAAACTTTTACTATGGTTTGAAAAGATGTCTTGACTAATTTCTGGATAAATTTGAACAAACTTCCAATGGAAACATGATTTGATATGACTCCATTGTTCTTAGCCTAAAGGACATGCAGAAAACACTGCTTCCTCTAGACTATCTCTCCATATGCTTACTGCCCATCCTAATTTCTTTCCCTATCTCAGTCCAATTTCTTACCATTCTTTTTTTTCCTCCCCTCATTTCTTACCATTCTCCCATCAGAAAAAGAAAAATAAATTCTCCCACCATCACCACCTACCAAATTAAATCAAAGAAAGCTCTTCAAGCTCAAAATAAATAAGTTGTCATTGAATTTGGTGAACAACCCTCAGGTAAATAGACCCATGTTCTATGACTTCCATTCCTTTGACAAATACTGTTCATCTAGATAAAACTGTAATGGACTCGGAGCTCATTTTCAAAAGGAATTCAGAATTCGAATGGTAATTCACTTCCATTTCAGGAAAAGAAATGGACAACAGAGTAAAATTAGAAATTGAAATTTCACTATTCTTGCAATATAATATGACATAACTTCATTCAAACATATGCATCCGAACAATTGTCTCAACCTGTACTTCAAAGCTCATTTCAGAATATAGTAAAACAAAGATTTCTTTCAGATTACACTTTAAAATGCACATTGACGTCAAACTAACTCTGACTCAATTCCCACTTCCAGAATGGGCGCCCGACTTATTGTGGTGCAGACTAAGTATTTCACAACAGTACTTACAGGGATCAGTACTTTGACGGAAACATGAACCCTTTACCTGGAATGTAGCAGGTATGGTGCCATCTTCAGCTCCAAACATCGATTGATATACAGCTGCTGTTGCAAGGGCTGTTTCTTTCTTCAATATCTACTTCAAAGAGAGAAGGAATACAAATTGAAACAAAAAATTCTTCAGAGGTCTCTCCATGAGCAAATCTAATAATGGAATGGGGCATGATAATATCTTACTTGGCTTCTTTGTAGAAGAGCATTAGTTTCACCCATTGAACGCAGATGCTCAATCAATTCCAGAGCTGCCTCGTATCAGATGTAAAGTCAATTAGAAAATGACAAAGCAAAAAACAAGAAAATAAAGAGAAATATGCTATTCAATAAAGAGAAAAGTCTCTCTGGTACCATTTTGTAATTTGACCTCATTTCAGCAAAAAGAACTACCACACTTATTCCCGAACCTATCAATTCATCATGAAAATGAAAGACAAGTAGTACTGGACTCTAAACTGATTTTAATGATCACGCAACCTTTAAAACTTCAAAAATGATCAACTCAGGAAATGGAGATGGACATTGAGGGACATGAAGGAAATCACAGGAACAATATAAAAGTCACCAAGAAGGAGGTGTGCACGGGTTCATAGCATTCTGACAGGTATAGGGAAATATGTTTCTAGCATTTAGGGGCTTTCAGCATATGGCATTTTGATACATGAGAGACCTTACGCAGACTAATCACGTGAAACATTATTGTCAATACGTAAATTAGGGGGCAGACCAACATTTTTAACTTTACTATCAGCAAATATACATCTTCACTTTTATACTATTCATTCATTGCCTTCTATGATAACTCTTAATTAGGATTACTTGCACTGCTAATAAGGACTACTGTCATATTTTTGTTTTTCTTTCTGCAGGGAATTAAAATTGCAGCATTTTAGTCTTTTCAGCAGAGACAACCTTTTACACCCTATTATAAATCTTGTTAGTAATGATCTTTTCACCAACTCTGCCTGCACCACTAAATACAAAAGTGGCGACACGTTTACTTGTCAATTTCGTGTTAAATGCATTAAAAGAGAGTACAATTCGTAGTTATTCCAAATGAAAGCCAGTTTCAAATTAAGCTCATAGGATGGAAAAGAATGAAAAAACGTGCTTACAGCTACTGTATCTAACAACGTATTCATCAACATCAACACCAGGAAGGCTGAAGCCAGCTCTAGTCAAAAGATTGCCAGCATCTCGCACCTATAAAATCAGCCATACACATATAGAACGAGGGTCAGAACAACACAATTACTTAGTCATGTCCATACCACGGCTGATGAGAACATGCTACCAATTTCAATCATATTCAAGGTTAATAAGCAACGGACACTTCCATTCAATGCAAATGGAATGTATTTCCATGAACATTCTATCTTAATGCTGGTAACTTTGGTCTTTTCTTTTCAAAATTTCAAATATAATAGTTGATTCATTCCTCTTCAGAGGATTTAATTGGATGCCATTCAGAGATATGTGTGAGTGGCAGCAATACTAGCAGATTCATTTTCTCAAATGTGCAGTTACAGGAAAGTTTGGGGTCAGAAGAACCAATGGACGACTAAAATTTTACTGGAGTCTATATCCCATTGTTGTGCAAATGAGTTAAGGACACAAGTAACTGTTTTAAATGTTGGCCTCTTCATGTTTCAGATGCTAATTGGATAGAAATGAATTAACTAGTTACAACCACCTAATAGTGCGATTCTGTAACTTTTTGAAGATTCACAACACAGCCTAGAAATCAGTTCAACTGACCGTACCAACTGGTGTGTATTGTGCCACAAAATTTAGGCTTGTCAAAGGTTCTAAAGGACAAAAAAAATCCAAGAGCCAACCACACCAGAATTTTCCCAAGTAAGAAGATTATCCATATTCAGATGGAAGCTAAAATTGAAAATGTTCGAGCAATCAGTTCAGATAGATATCTAAAGATTCAAAACCGAATTCTCAACAAGCGAAAACTAAATGTTGTCAGCCACAAACCATAAAAAGCATGCCAACTAATGATGTTCAAGAATTTCAACTGTCCATAAAACGTCTTTGGGGTTGGACTCCATATCATTCATGTGCAAACAACAAGCCTTTATCCCACAATTCGGGATCGGCTGATAGCATCTTATGTAGTTGGGAGAAAATTAGTAGAAAGTGAAAAGGCTCCTTTAAAGTTCATTGGTGTTGAGCTAAAATTTTCTTCTTGGTGATTAGAGAAGACTCTCCCAATAGCTTGAGTGAATATAGAACACTTGAAGAATCGTGGTTCTAACACGCAGAGGTTGCAACGTGAGATTGGAGTAAGAAAGTGGACAAACTACAAAGCCATCAGTGGTAGCTAGTTGTAACAAAAGCTTACCTTGTAATTGTTTAATCTCACTTTTTAAATAATTCATATAATTTAAACATAATAACCTCATGATGAGGGTTTGAAATGTTAGAATGGAAATCTAGGTAACAGATTGGAAACTATGACCGTTCTATTGTCCTATGTGCCAATTTCTTAGTAAGCTGTCTGTTATTGCTTTCGCTGTTTCGCATTTGATTAGTTGTTGAAGTTTTGATTATTATAAGGCCCTAAGATCTAAAGCTTGAAAAGCCCATATAAACTTTGTCCTGCATATATTGAAGTTTTTAAACCACAATTGAGCCCACTCAGTTTGCCATACATACCTCACAAAGAAAAGGTTATACCTCAGTCATTGTAGTAAGGAGTATTCAGATATCTCTCCCAATTTTGTTGGAGACTAGGAAATTATTCAGAGGGGAAAAATGGATACACAACTGATTCATGAAAACACACATATCGGTACAAATAAGGCCAAGCAATTTCAAAAGAATTAAATGCTGGCCAAAATCAAAGAGTAGGTAGGCAATAACACCTTTCCCATACAACTGGAACCATGCCCCAAGAAAATAGTTATTTGATAAAGCAAAAGCGTTCACTAGGTACAAACAAAAACTAGATTTAATACTTAAAAAACCTGTGCCAATGGTGACAATCGTGGACTGATGCCTCCTTCTCTCTCCATTTGTGCCACAGTGCATGCTATCCTCAGCTCCCTGCACGACACTGATACGAATTAAAGAAACATGCATTTTGTATATGCAAATTTGAAACTAACCCAATCTAACTAGGGCCAGACTTTAATGTTTCTCCACCAAAGATTGAAGCTAAAAACAGGCCATCAGGCTTCAATGCCAATCTGCACTGCCACAGAAAAAAGGGTATTTTTTGTCAGTTATCAAAAGACCAGCTTGAAAAATAATTTAAATAGAACCCCAGAAAAAAAAAATGAAAGAAAAGGAAAATAATTGTTTCTTTTAGTTTATTAACAACGAACCTCAAACATCACAAGCACAAACCTGTATCATTGCTCCAGGTAGATCATTTGTCCAGTGTAGTCCTAAGTTACTGATGATTAAATCCAGAGAACTAAGGATCCAAAGAATAACTCGAGTAAGTTTCAAACTGCTTTGAAAAAAAAAAGCAATTCAAACAGGAACACACATCTAGAACAGAGACAAATGATTACTTTCCCTACCTTTCCTTAAACGGCAAAAACTCTTCATCACCGACAACAAAAGATGTTTCCACGTTTTCATTTGGGGAATCTTTTTCAGCCCTTTTACATAAATTAACCATATCACATGAAGCATCCATCATGATAAACTTTTCAATGCCACCTGAAAACGGAGAAATACAGCCGTAAACACAAGCTCTCTACAATATCCAAACCATATATAATAATAAGCAGATACATAGATTCTACTGTCAGATCACTGTTCCAGTCTTCCTTTGAAGAGAGGAAAGAAGACAGTCAAGTATGGGAAAGATTTTCTCAGCTTTGGAGTGATCAACAGGGCAGTTCTTGAAGTGGCATAGTTTGGGGGTCAACTTACCCCAGCGACAGATGCCAATATCAGTACTGACAAAACTGTATTTAAGTTAGAAGTGATTCAATTTATAAGTCCTCTGATGCTGGAACTAGTCATTCTGGTATTTTGTAGTTCATCAGTTTCGGAAACATGGATTTACGTTATCCAAAATCTATAAGTGAACACTATAAGAAGTGTTCGAAATACTATAACTCACCACGCCCGCGTAGGAGCCGTCTAATAGCTTCCATTGAACCCCCCAAACATGCAGCTGTGGAAAACGTTCTTTTACAATCCTACAAGGCCAGAAAAAAAGAACACATAAGCACTTCTCAAATATCAAATTACAGATTTCTGAAGTTTGAGGAACCATATAATATCATGAGGCAGAAAACGAAGACTTAAAATCACCCAATCCAGAAAGGTGGTAAGGGATTGCAATGGTCCATCTATAATGTCCCTTCCGGCATATGATAGAAAAAATAAGAATAAAATAAAAAGATTCAAGCGTTGATACATTACTTGGTATGATGTCATAGCAAATACGCAAATACAATCAATTATGCTCGTTCAAAACCATCTTATATACTCAAACATGTGCAGCACAAATAAAGAAATGAAAACAGATGTCCAATTACCTCTAAGCGATCAAGAAGATTCTCAGCCACACTATCAACTAAAGAATCCTTAGGCTTAGGCTGCATCAACCAGGCTGCCCGATCACGCTGTCATTCACCAAAACCATCAGTACAATCAAAGAGAGAAGTAAAAGAAGAAGAGAAAACTGCATTAACACACACCCCTCACCCCCCCCCCACCCCCCAAAAAAAAAAAAGAGAGAGAGAAGAAGATTGGACTGAGTAGAACATTCTCGCACAATACGCAACTCAAACATCGAGATTAGAAATTTGTTGCATTCTCAGGCACCCGTTCAAGGAATACCTTCAAATTAATTCTTCAAAAAAAAGAATAACATATAAAGAATCATTCAGGAATGTGAGGGGGGGATAGCTTAACTTGTTTGCGCTTAAGGCTTCGATCGAAAATTTTCAATTTAGAGCTCCCAACGGCGTCATCTGAAATTCCTGTACAGTAAAGTCTCGCCGGAGGAAGGGTTCTCCGGGGAAGATTAATTGGAGATGCTCTCATATTATTTCTTCTTCTCAATCGATGAAAGGCCGGCGAGTACGCAATTCAACCAAAAGTGATGATATCACGGCAATTTTCTGTCTGAGTGAGAGAATTGACAGAAAAAAACGCTATGTGTTGACTGTATGTTTACAGTTTACTATTTCCTTTTTTCTAGGAGTATTTTTCTTTTTTTGAATAAAGACGGAAATTCATTTAATTTGTTGGGAATCCGCGAACACGGAGTGAGGTACAAAATCCGGAATTGTATCCTAAAATCTTTCAAAGTTACATTTAGTTTTTGCATATTAAGCTAAACAGTGTGGAACAACATTAAATTTATGACTAATCCAAGTACAATCAAATTGAACGTATTCCTGAAAACGAGCTTTTGTTTCATTTACTATTAATTCCCAGTCTGAAAGGTCGGTTTCTTCGGATTGAAGTCGATTAATTATTGCAGAAGAATCACCGACTAGAGTGAATTGTGGAATTCCAATTTCTACTACTAGTCTCACCGCTTCACGAGCTGCGACACTTTCAATTACCGGCGGGGAAAAGAGTCCAACATATGTCTTTGCATAGCAACCAATAAAGCCTGTCGTTGAGTTCCATATCAGAATGCCTGAAGCCGATAGTTTAAGGTTCTTGTTTGTTGCTCCATCGAAGAAGAAACAGGTTCCATTCATGAACTCAAGATTGGTTTCTGGCCTTTTTTTGATCTGGGAGTCAAGAATAGATGCAGTTGAGATTCCCGCCAAAATTCCAGGAGAGAGAGAGAGAGGCTCATTTGAAGAATTGTCCTTGATTGATACTCATGGTTCTCAAAAACAAGCGTGTTCCTAGCCAACCATATGTTTTAGTAGATTGACGCAAAGAGTGGCAATTTATTTGGTGGTAGTTTATCGATCATATTTGCTAAGTGAATTCTGCAATCTTTGGAGCATGATCTATAGATTTGCGAGTCGAGCTCACTGTTTTGCCAAACGTCCTTTGTTGTTCGAAAAACACGTGTTTCAGTTTTTCACCTTCTCCACATGATTTGCAAAGTCGGTCAGTATCCACTTTCCTTTGAAGCAGATTCCTTTGAGTGGCTAGAGTGTCCGTCAACATTTTGTACAGGTGATGCTTTGCTTTTGGTGTAATGTTGATGTTCCATAATTTCTTCCACGTGGTTTTGACACCCTGTAACATAGAACTGCCTGAGATCGGACTGCTTTGGAAGCCAGGATGTGATTGTAGAACCTTGTAACAGCTTGAGACTGTGTATCTTCCGTGAGTTGTGTAGTACCACCTCCAAAAGTCTTTCTCTACAGTTGAACTCAGCGGGATACTGGCTACCAAATTTGCTTCATCAGGCCAGAACAAATGGTTGAGGAGGACTGAATTCTATGTTCATGTTCCATTTTCAATGAGGGAGTCTACTGTGCATTTTCTGGCAAAAGGCATCTTTAGACTGACTATTTTAAAAGAGAATGGTTTGGGAAGCGAGGGATCATTCCATATATCAACTGTAGCACCTTTCCCAACTCTCTTACGGCACCCACTATGGAGTGCAGTTTGTCCTTGTAATATGCTTCTCCAACTAAAAGACGGACGTGAACCAAGCTTGACATTCAAGAAATCACAATCAGGAAAGTAGCGGGCCTTCAATACATGGAAAAGAAGTGATCGTTTGTTAGTGAGAAGCCGCCAAGCCTGTTTACCTAGAAGGGAAAGATTAAACAATTTCAGATTTTTGAACCCTAATCCGCCATCTTGTTTTGGTCTACATAGAGATTCCCAGGTGTTCCAGTGAATTCGCCTTTCTGTTTTTGAGTCTCCCCACCAGAAGGATGCAAGGATGGCATGGATTTCGTCACATAAGGTTTCCGACAGCTGGAAATAACTCATTGCATAAGTCGGGATCGCTTGAGCAACCAATTTGATTAACACTTCTTTGCCTGCTTGCGAAAGACTTTTTTCTGCAAAACCTTCGACCTTGGCTCGCACTCGGTCCTTGATGTCATTGAATATCTCCTTTTTGCGTCTTCCCACAACTGAAGGTAAGCCTAGATATTTGCCCTGGGATTCTGTTCGTTTGATACCAAGTCTAGCTGCCAATGAGTTGCCACTTCGTTTGGAGTACTTGGGCTGAATAACACCGCCGACTTATCTAGGTTTATGAGTTGTCCCAAAACAGATTCATAAAGATGGATTACGCTTGAGAATGCATCTATCTCTAAGGCAGTTGCTCTCCCACATAGAAGTGTATCGTCGGCAAAAAAGAGATGTGTGATACTTGAGGCTGATGGCGCGACTTGTGCTCTTCTCAAGTTTCCACAACGTTGCGCTTTCTGTATCTTGAGTTTAAAAAACTTCCGCACAGATAATAAAAAGATAAGGGGATAGTGGATCCCCTTGTCTTATACCTCTTTGCGAGGTGAGGGAGCCGAATTCCTGTCCATTTAGCAAAAAAGAGAAGGATGTGGACGTCATGCATTTTTCAATTAGTGTTATGTAGGAGGGGCTGAATCCAAGGGCATTCATGACTAGTAGAACTAATTTCCATTCTACCATATCGAAGGCCTTACTCATGTCAAGTTTTATTGACATGAGACCTTTCTTTCCTCCGTTTTTTTTTTCAAATTTCATGGTGGAGTTCTTGTGCAATCAGGATATTATCAGTAATTAATCTTCCTGGCACGAATGCCTATTGTGATTCAGAAATGACATGAGGCAGAATTACCTTCATTCTATTTGCAAGACATTTTGAAATTATTTTGTAAATAACATTGCAAAGTGAAATAGGTCTAAAATGTGAAATGAGCTTGGGGGTTTTTATTTTTGGAATCAAAACTAGATGTGTACAATTTATTTATTTATTTTTTTGTCAAAAGCACCATGATTCAAAAAATTTAGAATTTAAAAAACAACATCTTCACCAATTAAAGACCAAAATTTTTGAAAAAATAGGGGAGGCATACCATCCGGGCCGGGGGATTTGGTCGGGTGCATTTGGTTCACTGCTTTTCTGATTTCCTATGCTGTGTACGGTTGCTCCAATCTTTGATTGAACTCTTTTGATACTTTTGGTCTGATTAGAGATAAGACGAAATTTAAGTCGTCCTGATGGTTAGATTTGGCAGTAAAAATCTCCCCAAAGTGATCTACAATTATCTTTTCTAACTCCACTTCCTCAGTACACCAGACTCCTTGATTGTTTTCCAACCCTTTGATTTCATTGATTTCCTTTCTTTTTGATGCATAAGCATGAAAGAACCTGGTGTTGCGATCATATTCTTTGTGCCAGTGTAGCTTTGATCTCTGTCTCCATTGATCATCTTCTTTTGTTAAGAGGCTTTCCAATATCAACTTTTTCTCCTTTAGGGTTTCATAGGCTCGGTCATCTAGTACTCCTTCTGCATACTTTCAACTTTAGTTCTGAGGTTTTCGATCTCTTTCCTGTTGGCCTTCGGATAATTCTTTTCCCAATTTACCAAACCAATTGCGTAATTGCTGATTTTTCCCAAGAGATCATTGTCTTCATTTGTCCATGAGTTTTTGATGGCCTCTTCTATGTTTGAACGCCGTATCCAACATGATTCAAATCTAAAACGTCGTTTTTTCTTTTGTTTCCTCCAGTGTCCATGGCACGGTTGCTGCACCACTAAAATTGGTAGATGATTAGAAAGATGGCTGAAAAGGTGAAGAACTTCTGTTTCCGGGAATCTTTGTCTCCAGAGATCATTTCCACATGCTCCATCCAGTCGAACTTTTATTGTATCAGGGAATTTACGATTTCTGAACCATGTATACATAGACCCATCATGGCCTAGATCATCTAGCATACAAGCTTCTAGTGCTTCTCTAAATGTTGTAAATTGCCATTCGGGTCTCAATCTACGACCGTGGCTTTCATTGTGGTTGAGAATCTCATTAAAGTCTCCTAGACAAACCCATGGACTAGCACTGCTTGAATAAAGGTTTTGGAATTGATTCCACGATGATCGCCTGGGTAAAGTATCAGGTTCTCCATAATATCCAGTCAGTCAAAAGAGTTTCAATGGATCAGAAGGGTACACTAAAGCATCAATATAACGGGAATTGAAGTTTTTTATTTCAACAGGGATATCTTTATTCCATAGTAATCCTAATCCACCGGATTTACTGATTGATTCTACACTAAAACTAGACATGCGCAAACTGCGCTTTATTTCTTTGAATTGAAAAGCAGAACATTTTGTTTCACAAATAAAAATTAAAGAGCGTTTATTCCTTTGTACCAGCTCTCTGAGTTCTCTGACTGCTCGAGGATTCCCAAGTCCTCGGCAGTTCCATGCTAAGATACTCATTTATATCGGCAGGACCGATTCTTATCGGTCCCCACCGCTGGTTCTTTTTTCTTGTTAGCATTTTACCCTTTCTGTGGTGTGGATTTGGTTTTTGATGATTTTGCTTGTTCTGCCTGTGGTAGAGGTTTCAGTTTTTTGGGCGTGGGGAGGAGTGGTGGGAGGTTTTCTTTTGAAACTGGTTCATTTGGATTAAACAGTTTGCGTTTTGGTAAGGGAGAAGCTGGATTAGTTCGTAGTGGAAGTTTCCTGGTTGACCCGGTATGGTTTCGGGGTAAGGGTGGGGTGTTGGGTATGTTGATTTGGCGGTTGGGTCTGTTTGGGGTTATGTTCTCCTGGTTAGGGTTCACGGTTATTGGAGATTGATTTTGTGGAGGTGGTTCTTGGGTTTGTGCTGGCTTTGAGGTAGTTGGTTGAGGTGAATTTGGTGTAGTTGGGACTAGGTTGTTAAGGCATTTCTTTTCACTGGTTTTTGGGTTAGGGGTATTGGTGGGTGGAAGGTCAATCTGCATGTGTTTGGAGATCATGTTTTCAGCCTGGGAAATAGGGAGTTGAGAGTCTGGATTCGGTTGGGGATCTTTTTGGGTAAGATTTGGTGCAGTCACATTTAGGGTAGGCTGTTGAGATTGGGTTGTTAGGTTTGAACGAATTTGGGGGGATATTGGTGTGATTTGGTCGCTGATAGTTGCGGTTTCAGGGTCAGGGTTTGAGTGTTCGAGCTGGAATCTTTGCTCGAGACTGGGCTTGAGACGGCTGGCCGCCGGAGTAGATTTTTGGTTGTCCTCAAATATGAGCCATGTCCCCCATCTATCTTCCTTGTTCAGACCAATTCCTTTAAGCAGTCTTTCATCACATTCCTTCGTAACATGACAAATTCTGCCGCAGAAAAAATACATGATCGGCAACTTCTCAAATTGAAAATACAGAGTCAATGGCTGATCATTGAATTCCACTTCTAACATTCTTGGTAGCGGCTTGGTGATATAAATAGAGACTTTGACCCATAAGGAGCATACCCAGCAGTTCCCTTGTGCGAACTTCCACGAATTTTCCGATCCTGTTTGATGAAAAACATAAAGCCTTCCATGGCGCTTCTCCTAGTGAGGGGAATGAGCTAGTCCTTCATTCTAGTTTTGGGAGGCCAAGTTTAAGTTGCAAGCCAATAAAGGAAGAAAGGATGGATCTTGACTACCTATTTGATAGGGAGTTGGTTCAAGAGAGCTATGATCGAGATGATGAGAATGTCATTAATTTTGGGGTTCAAACCAAAGAAGATGATTCAGTCATGGAACTAAGTGCTCAAGAGTATCAAGGGAGTTTGACTCTAGGTGCTCCATGAAGGTCATTGATCAAGCAAGAGAGAAGAATCATTTAGGTTCTTGAATAGACGGCCTATTTGATCAAAGTGTTCAAAATTGAGTCCATTGCTACACAATTGGATAGGGTACAAACTATCTCAATTGTTTCAACTATTTTTCTATTCTTTTGGAGTCAATAAAGAGAATTCTACAAGTTTTGGAGTAAATTGGAGTTATCTACAACTTGAGGGGTGCAAGACCAATATTCCACCTTTTGGAAAGGTGTTCAAGACATTTTACTTCAACAATTGTTGCTGAATTTCGAGATTAGAGTTGTCTAAGTCTAGGAGTTTAATTTTTCGAGTTTATCTAGTCAAGATAAGCCATTTGAGCTGAATTAAGCTAGAGTGTTTTGTTTAGGAGTCTTAGATTCCTTCTAAGTATTATCCTATTTGAGGATGAGTCATTTAGATAAGGTTTCCTAGATTTTAGATGGAGTCAAAGAGATCAAATACTCTTCTAACTCTACTCCTGCGAGAGATAAGATTAGAGAGTCCTAGTTGGTCTTCTTTTGTGCTTTGTGACTGAGGTTGCTACTCTATAAATAGGGGGCAAGGCCTAAGGTTCAAGGTACCCGTGTGTGGTCATTTTGAGTCTTCTCTAATGAGAGTTTTTCCTGTGAGGAATTTTTGTTAAATGGTGTGTCCATTTTTCATTTGTCAAGTATGATTTAACCAAGTCAGTTTTCATCTTGTCTTGGATCTTTTGATCTTGCAGAAACCGTGCTTTTTCAAATATGCTTCTTGATAGAATTGTTTTAAAACTAAACTTCTTATTTTCATACTACTTCTAGTAGTTCGAGATTGAGCCTTTCTTTTGGCTATGGTTTTCGAAATTCATGATGTGTGTGTTAACGAGTTCCTTTGTGAGGTTTGTCCTACTTTTTGTTGGATGAGTTTTGCGTTGGCATAGGCGTTTTGAGATAGTGTTTGTGTTGCATATCTTTGTTGGTTATGGAGATTACTAATCAATAGTATTCCTTCATAGTTGAGTATTGTTTGCTCCTACCTTTCTTGAGTCTCTTGATTGATGACTGATTGAGTATATTGAATGGTGTCCTTACTACTCTTAGTGTGGGTTGTTGTTTAATTTGAATCTTTCATAGATTATGTGTTCTTTGCTTGATTTGAGTTAAAGAAATAGAAATCCTTAGATAAACGATCGTCTTACTGTGAATTTTACGCACTCTTTTGAGTTTCACGGTATAGACAAATTATTTTCGTACTTTCTTGTTTGATGGTTGCATTAACGAAATTTGCTTCATCTACGAGATTGCTATCAGTTTTTGGTATCAGAGATTGAACTATCTAAGTGATGGTATTAATTGTTATTATCATATCAGTTTTTAGTATCACTTTGATTTTCGAGAGATTTTTTTTGATTAAGGACTTCATAGTTCTTGGTTTTGAGAATATCTTGAGTTACCACGGAATCCGTTTCTTGGTGTGGTAATCGAGCTTTGTGCTATTAACAAGTAGTACTATCTTTATTTGTTTCAAGATTCCTTCTTGTTGCAGAATGGGTTTTGAAAGAATAAATCAAATTCTTGTGAAAACTACGGTTTCAAAATTGATTTTGTTTTTTCTGTGGTTGTGCGAGACTTCTTACACATTTGTTTGATCTTGTGGTCTTATTTTGAGGTCTATGCGAGAGTTTGATGATGGTACATTGGTATCTAGTCAAAGTGGGTCCATCTTGAAATTTATCCTTGACTTGCATGTAGAGAATTGTTTCTCCTATGAGCAAGTTAGTGGATCTTATGTGTTGAATCTTTAAGGAGAGAATTGATGCCAAAGAAGAGCTTCTTGCTCGAGGTAGCGTTTTCTTTCTAAAGAGATGTCTTTACATGAGGAGGGTTTAAGAGTTTATCTTGTGGTAAATATCTTGGATCTATTCTTTGAAAGGTAAAACTTAGTGATTTTGTACTTTCTACATAAAGTATAAATGAAAAAGCCTTCCTTCTTGTTGGTTCTCATTTGAATCTAATGAGTAAAATAGAATTTAAGAATTTTTCAATCAATGAGAATTTCATAGAGTTCTGATCCTTTTTGATTATTTTGTTTTGTTTAAATCTTAGTGTCAAAAGATTTTCAAAAGTAACAAATGTCGGTTTTTTTTTCTTGAGTTTATACTTTGAGAATTAGTCGAATTAGTGGGTCTTCCTATCATTGGACTTTCCATGATTCTTAACTTGAGTTTCAAACTTTCTTTATCAGTTGGTGAAGAATGAATTTTAGTGATATCAGTTTTGGTATCAAAATATTTTAAGGTCTTTAAAAGTTGAATTGTGCCAACATTAAAGGTTGAAGTCTATTGACTTGTGTTAAAACCTTAGTTTTCGAGAGTTGAATAGAGAATGGAATGAAGTTTTACTAAAGATTTTCTTATATATAACAAGAAATCTTATAAGGCTTTGAGATATGTTCTTGAAGTTTACATATTTGGTTTTTGGAAAATTTGATTTTCAAATGATTACTTATGAAAATGACCTTGTTGAGTCATTGAGTCGTATGAATGGTTTGTGTTAAATTGAGTATTATGAAGCAAACGTCGTAGTTGAATGAGGAACTTCAAATTCCAACTTCATTATACTTATGGTGTTCTTGTTGCTTTATTTGCCATAGATTGTTTGGTGAAAAGTGATTTTGTTAATTCCATATACATTTTGCTAACAGGTTTTTAGAATGTATTCTAAAAGTTTTGGAACATTTTGGAAAGTGGTAATTTTCGAGATTCCTTTTAAAGTGAGTCAAAAGTAATTTTTCAAATTTTAACTATGTGGTAAAAGTTAAATGTCGAATTTTTGCTGAAATAATGCATGTGTGTGCGTGTGTTTTGTGTTGAGTTCTAAGCCTAGTTGGTTTTGAATTCTTGTATGTGTAAGGTGGCCGAAAATTGGAGCTAAAATTAGGGTTTCCTAGTCCTAGTTAAACTTGAATTTTGGTTGTCTATTTGTGTTACAATTTGAGATCTATTCGGTCTTGGATTTGGGTGTTCACATTGGCCGAATTTTTCAGCCTTTGTCTCCTAATGGTATTACAATTTTATTGTGTGTTTTATTTGAGTCCTACTTGCATTTGAATACTAATTTTTTCATGAGTTAAATTATAATTTTAGTGAGATTATAATTAGAATTTTATAGTGAGTCTATTTTAGAAAACTATTGAGGTAAGGAAGTCTTATCTTAAACTGAAAATTTTTGAGTCTTTTAATACAATTTTGCTTATGTTTTGGCCGAGTTTTTGTGTCCTAATTGCAGTAGGGGGTCAAAAATTTTATCTCTAAATAGTAGGGATGAATCTTTCATTGTTTTATGACATAGTTCATAAGTTGTGTCCAAAAGGGATTATGATTACCTAAGTTTTAGGACTCTATCTCTTTTACTTATCAAGCTGGCTGAAATTTCTTCTTCTTTATCCCATTTGGTCGACTGAAATTTTATCAAATAGGGGGGAATATCAAATTTAGGTCCTATCTTGTAGGAGTTTTCTTGCACAAAAAGACTTGCATTGCCTATAAATAGGGGTGCTGTTTTTCAAAAATTCTCACACCACTCTACTCCATTCTTCTTCTTCTTCTTGTGGCCGAGATCACTAGCGTCAAAAAATGGGAGCACTCTTTCTTTAATATGATTTTTGAGAGTTTTAAGTGCTCTTAAAAGCACAAGAGAGTTTGTTTTTGGGGAGAGTATCATTCGAACCTTCCTTTGGTTCTTTTTTTTGGGGGGGTTTATCGAACCATTTGGTTCAAGCATACAAGGAGTTCTTTGTGTAGTTCCAAAAGCGCAATTACTTCTTTTGGTGGTTTTTCAAGCTTTGTTAAGCAAAGATGAGTTCTGGAATTGTTGGATGTAACAAGGTTGCTTCCAAGAGTGAAGATGGTCGCGTTGAGTTCCAAATTCAACACATGAAAAGTCAGTTGGAGTACTTGAATGATGCGCTGAAAGAGGTGAAGGAGGTGAACCGGGAATTGTCCTATTCGCTTTCCAAACAGCAAGAGAAGGTTGCGAGCAATCTCAATCTTATAGCTGAAGGTATGAAAGTTTTATGTGACCATTTTGAAGTGAAACAAGTGCCCTCATATGCTGGTATGTTAAAAGTGTCATTGCCTTTGTTTTATGGTTTCCATAAAGACTATGACACTTGGGAAAAGAACATTGAGAATTTGTTTGTATTGCTTAACATTGAGAAATAGAGTGAGAAAATAGCCTTAGCTGTAGGTTGTTTTCATTCTAGTGCTTTGAATTGGTGGAAACTAGTATCAAATATCTATTCGCATCATTGGTATTGTAGTTGTGATGATTGGCATGAATTGAGAAATGCTTTGTGAGAAAGATATGTTGGTTCTAACACCTTTGCAGAGGTAAAAGTGAAGTTGCTTGAGTGTAAGCAGAATGGTAGATCCATTCAATCTTACTATGAGGAACTAGAACGCGTGTTCCTGAGCTCCAATGTGGATGAAAACGATTACATGTTGACAGATTGTTTCTTCTATGGGTTGGACAAGGAGTATAAATAGAACCCGAAGCTAAGACAGTAATCAAGGCTCTATGAGGCATATTTCGCTGCCTTGGAGGTGGAGAAGAGCATGATGCTTCTTGTGGT